TGGCCAACGGCACAAATCCCCGGTTTATCTAGTATTGCGTGGACTGACTCTTGCTGAAAGAGTTCGATCAAGAAAGCCCGCCTCACAATATATGCTACATGTTGGATATCTGCAGGACCTGAAGTCTTACCCCAATCAGCAATGGAGGACTCTAAGACGTGGTTAACAAGATGCTTCCTGTCAGCCGACAGACGAGCAAAATCCCGCTCAACACTTCGAAAGGCCTCCGTGCGATGTAAACGTTGAAGCCAGCGCCAAATGAGCGTCCATCCACAAAGTCCAGGGACTGACGTATCCTCCTGTACATTGACAAGGAGTCTGTGAGGTGCAATATGGAGCAAATGGCTGGCGAAAAAAGTGAGCCTTTCACGAAATGCTGGTGGTGACTGAACAAGAAGAACCTGCGGTGGGTTAACATCTCTAAAGATCTCCAGAGCCACCCAATGGCAACCTATGAGAACAGGGACAATCGTTGTTCCCGGTTGGGGATGTGCATTCTACCAGTCTCAAAGGCAAAATCATTCTGGTTTGGATTATAGAAGGCAATAGGCGTGAAATGTGTATGCTCATGTCCTCTGGCAATACGGGCAAGAACGAAAGAGAGTTCGTCCGACGCAAGCCAGCCTTCTGTTGTTCTTGCAAAATCAAGCCTATCCCCAATGGTTGGTCTTGGTCCTAGTACAACCATTCTTGTGGATCTCCATGAAATGGTGCCACCACTAAGAACCGGACAGAAATTTTCTTCAAGTATCTGACTTCGAATATCATCTGTGGAGATCATGCTCCATATACCATCGTCAGTTCGCACTTTGTCAAAATGTTCTTCCTGTAACATCGATATGCAGAGAGCTCTGGCTTCATCTGTATCTGACTGAAGCATTTGTTGCCCAGATGCATGGCGAAGAGTATAACGGTGGTACACGGGTACAGCCCCACTGAATGTGGTGTGATGTCGTGGTTTTGGCATCGTAAGTAGCTTCACCTGCATCTTTGTGTTCATCTTGTCCATGATTCTAAAAGAAGCTCTCTTCATGAATGACATGTCGATGAAAGGCTGTACCGCCCCTTGCACCAAACAAAGTCGTGACAATGCAACAACATTCCCCGGCAGGAGCTGAGGAAACACCAAGCTCGACTGGTCGTCACGTGTATGGCGAGGACAATCGTAATTGTAACTGGGTACAGCCCCACTAGATGTAGTCGGATGTTGTAGTCCTTGAACTAATCCGGATTGCCAGGGCTTTGTCAAGGCAAAGTGACCGCCGATGCTGGCAAAAGAATTTTCTGTCAAAATGTGGTCACGGGTCAACCTTTGTGTATTCGGTGCAAACCATCGCGGATTAACTCGAAGGTCTGATGAGGACATCAATGTCCATGACCAACTTGGACCATCCTCTGCAACATGAAAAGGATCATGGTTGCAAATGGGTACAGCCCCACTAAATGTGGTTTGACGTCGTGGCGCTTGGAAAGAGTAAGTCCACGGAGACTTCGTCATGATGCCCTCCTGATTGGATTGCGAGAACACATCGCTGGTCCATGAAATGTCAAAAATCAAACTCACTGCATCTTGGACATGATCTCGACACAGCTTATGTGCATTGGATTCATGTGGAAACTGGAGTGTCCTGCCACCAAATCGATCAGCCCATGGATGGAGAAAACACTCATGGTTGTCACTGGGTACAGCCCCACTCAATGTGGTTCGATGTTGTGGTACTAGCTTCCGAAAGGACACCAAGCTCAACTTGTCATCGCGTGTATAGCGAGGACCATCGTGGTTGTAACTGGGTACAGCCCCACTGGATGTAGTCGGATGTTGTAGTCCTTGAACGAATCCAGGTTGCCAAGGCTTCATCAAGGCAAAGCAATCACCGATGCTGGCAAAAGAATCTTCTGTCAAGATGTGATCACGGATCAACTTTTGTGCATTCTGTACAAACCATTGCGGATTAACTCGAAGGTCTGATGGAGACATCAATGTCCATGAACAACTTGGACCATCCTCTGCAACATGAAAAGGATCACGGTTGCAAATGGGTACAGCCCCACTAAATGTGGTTTGACGTCGTGGTGCTTGGAAAGAGTAAGTCCACGGAAACTTCATCATGATGCCCTCCTGATTGGATTGCGAGGACACATCGGTGGTCCATGAAATGTCAAAGATCAAACTCACTGCATCTTGGACAAGATCTCGACACAGCTTATCTGTACTAGATTCGTGTGGAAACTGGAGTGTCCTGCCACCAAATCGACCAGCCCATGGATGGAGAAAAAACTCATGGTCGTCATTGGGTACAGCCCCACTCAATGAGGTTCGATGTGGTGGTACTGGCTTCCAAAAGGGTCGCAAAGGTCTCATCCTCGACCACTCACTGAGGATTTTTGAGTGTGAATGTGACCTGCATAGCTCATTTGTGATGGCAAAAGAGGAAAAGCTCCGGGCCGCTTGTTCTGTGATGTCACCGGTTGCCATGGTCCAGGGTAACATCGAAAGTCGCGAGTCAGGATTCAAATGCAGGTCACCGGAATCTGTCTGGTATTGTCGACTGTATTGAGGAACACAGCGAACTGCGAGTTGGGAATGATCTTGGCTGGAAGTGCATGTCAAGCAGGGAGGAATGAGGTCATCTCGTACAGCTTTCAAAAGGTCTGTACAACCTGCTAGACTTTCAGTGGACCAAGACTCTGCTGAGGCGCTGAAAAACGCTATCGGATATGGATATGAAGTGGACAAAACCTGAGAGTTCAGCTCATTTGGATTATGCATGCATTCATGAAAACATGGATGAATTCGAACAACCTTTGGCCCAGTTGGGAATCCAACTGCCTGAGTTTCAGCAAAGGTTGCGGACAAAACTGGTGTGCCATGTCCCTGCAAATCGAAGACACTTGGGCTTGGGCAAGTCTCGATGAAACGGACCAAGTCAGATAGGGCGCTATCCCTACTTGAGGGACTCTGGTGGGCATGCTGACTTGACGAAATCCTATGACGATCGGATAAATGACCTATCTGCTGATATCGATCACTTAGAATACAAGCGCCCACTTTCCAGTCGACTGGGGAGATGCGTCTGGATTGCGCTATTGATGGTGCGTCAGCCTCGAGGAAACGAAACACAGTCTTCCAAAGACGAATCCCCGCCATATATAGTGCACCAGAACCCTTCGGTTTTTCTTCACCTGTCACCCCATCGAGCGAAAATCCTGGAGTTTTGGGATGCCAACACCCCGGATCACACACGGACTTCATGAATGAGTAGCAGGTCTCGATGCATGGAGTCAAACAGGATGAAAATGGATAATCATGAACCGTCTTCCCCTGTTGAGTTGACTGCCGATGTACAAAAGGCGGAAACGGCGTACGAACCTCCTTTGGAACAAGGTGTGCATGCCATGGTTCAAAGTCGAAGTTCTCAGCATGTGGATCCTGCTTACTGTTTGTATTCGATGTATTACACACACCAACAGCCCATGGTTCTGCTTGCAAGGACTCCTGGTCAGTTACTCCAACCTTCTCTGCACATAATGCCTTCTTGCAAAATCGGTTTAGCTCATGTTCAAAGTGTCGAAACATGAGCTCCTGTGTAGGTTCATCTTGCCTGGTTGGCTGCGGTGCGTGTAGCCTCCTGGACAAAAGAGTGGGATGTCGTTGCAGATCAAGCCTTTCCTCATGCCCAGTGACCCCTGACGGAAATGGGGTAGTATCGTCTTTGCATCTGTCAGCACTACCAAGGTGAATATACATCCATGGCTCAATGGAATTGCCCGTATCCTCCGTGAGCCCATAGCCACTGACTGAGTCATGCTGTTCATAAGCAATCGCCCATGGCTCAAACGCTTCTGGCAATGGGGTGTAAGAAGGGTCACAAGACCTTGATGATGGAAGTGGCTCCCCATACATCAGGAAAGGATCACCTTCGTGTTCCAACTCGTCATAGCGTTGGAATCCAGATTGCTGGCATCCTCCCTTTTGCCAGGTAAAGAAAGTTGTCACTCGTCCCGATTGTAAGTACCGCAGAATATCGTTAGAGATCTTCACCAGTACATGCCGGCCATCGGGTTGTGCAGCTTCAACCAGGGCAAAGGACCGCTGCCACAGGACAGTCCGCACAGGAGTAAGAGTGCGCTTCCAAACGCTCTTCCAGGATGATGTGCAAATCACCGTCTTTGAAGCCACTAGGCTTGCCATGGCTCGATCCGTGCCCCTCCCCACCCAGGGGAGAGACCGCAAGCGTGCCCCGTGCAGGCTCGAGCCCAAACGCCTACAACACCACCTCCCCAAAACTCTCTGGCCCAGGCCTGCAAATTAAACATACGGGGCCGGGACACCTTAAATATACGGACGGGGACAGGCATTTTATACTACCATACTCTCTGCTAATCGCCCTGTCCCTGACCTACATATTCCCAACATGGCCAACATCTCTCCAAAGCACGGACCAAGCCTGCACACTTTTGCGCGCGCAACGCCACGGGGGTATGCCGAACACCAGGCCTGGCACCAAGGAATCACACAGAATGGGACCAGTTCCGCTCGAGGATCGACGGCATCCATTTCCACCGGTCCACGTGCTTCGACCAGGCCTTGAGTGCCACAAGCCCTGATAGCTGCGACAGCACAATACAAAGCCATGGCACGGGCCGTTGCCGCGCATTGATTTTGGACATCGACACGCCAGGTGGGTGAGAACCAGGCAGTGTCACACCGCAAGCAGCAAAGCCCCTTGTTGCTTCTATCAGCCCCACCGCCATTCTAGCATTTTGGGTTGAGACACCTTGACCAAACATCCAAACATCCTTTGCGGTATGAATGGCTAGAGATGAAGGATTGAGTACTGTAAACCATTATCTGTCAAATGTATAGTTACTCGTGTGGTGCACAATCTTTCTTGAATTGATCCCTGAACAGGCAGCTTTTCAAGTCCACAAGCCGGTCACGTCACAGGACAAAAAGCATTCATTGCAAACCACATCTCTCAATGCTGCACTGATAGCACCTCCTTGAAAGTATCCAGCTTGAGCTCCAAAGAGAGGGTGACCAAACGCAAATCCTGGCGGCATATGCTTTGCCGACGCCACACGAGCACCAACTTCTCGCGCTCCTCCTTCCCTGCAGAGCGCAGCCTTTCGTAGGCGTGCTGTCGCTGCCGGCGCTCCTTGCCCAAGCTAAAACCCAGCAGAGTAGATTCTGAAAGGGGTCAATAACAGTGAATAAAGCATCAGGGCTGCTGCCTAATCTTCTAATAGATCCCTGCCTGAAGGCGCTGCCCGCTTCCCAGTTGAAGCAGGGAAGGCTTCACGGTTTTGCCTGGCTCCGGTGGCAGTCAAACCAAAGCGGCTCTCGTCAGCGTTCCAACTGTACTCACTCGCAGGCACTCTAGACTCCACACTGTAGATGCCAAGGGTCGTTAGCCTTATCTGACAGGGCACGGCAGTCGGTAAAATGTTTAAGGCTGAACCACCCATTTGGGTCCCTACATGTTTCTTATGAGCATGTTTTGTGGCAGAGGGTTGGGGTTCTACGCTTTCAGATTTCAGTGTTGCGACAATAGAGTTGGTACCCAAAACTCTCAGGCCGTGATTGTCTTAGGGGTCTCATCGTTCTTTCGACCGTATGATGTCGGGCCTTGGCTAGGTCGGTTTCCTCCAGGTTCTTTTCGCACTATCAAGGATTTGTGATCGAATCTCATCGACACAAAATGCGCCGGTTTCACCCAAAAGCTCGTGGGAAGCGTCTGAATCCAAGACCTCAATAGCCTTAGACACCGCCTGGAGCAGCATTGGATTGCAAAATTCGAGCAGAGTGGATGCCTATATAAATAAGTCAGGTAGTGACATAGATTGAGTACTCGTCTTCGACACTTTTTACCATGGAGTCTGGCTGTGACACCTCTCAGTGGCCTGGGTCTCGTCAGCCCGGGTCTGCTGCCGCTTTTCCCATTCCTTCTCCTTCGCGGCACACTTCTCCTTTACCTGCCAGCTGTTTCAGAAAGGATTGCCAAACAGGCGAAACCTGATGCAAAATCGCTAGTCGGGTGGAGGCCGTCACTAGTAGCTAAGCACGCTCGCAGCAGGATGCCCCAACGCATGGAAACCGATCCAACCAGCAATGGTGGAATTGTTCAAAATGTGTCATCAAGTGCCCGAGGCACACATGGATACGCATGGCACCTCCTTGGCAAATGCCATATCCTCATCTCTAGAGCTTGTTGCGTCTCTCACATCCTGCCCATGAAGTGGTGATGGGCCCTCTTTTCACATTAAGAACTTCACAAGAAATTCGCGAAGCGAGGCCTGCTTCTTTTGAAACCGTTCCTCATCTGCAGCTGCCTTTTCGTCCTCGTCACGAGGACTGTAGACTCTTAACCTTCAGAAGTCGACCACTGCAGCTTGTGCTCTCCTTCTTCGACTGAATCTGCTCTTTGGCGGACTCAATCTCCTCTCCTCAGCTGGTGGCAATCCCTACCAAGGGATAGGAAAACCGACCAAGTGCCTACAAAACTTCCAAACACACGTTGAAATGTCCACTGCTTCAGCGCCAAGGCTCCTTTCGCAGCAACCAGCTTCTCAGATGCGGCCTTGTTCTCTGTCTCAGCCTCCCGTAAGTCCTTCGCAGTCTGGCTGTGTCTCAAGCCAAGCCCTCCCTGGGAAGATGACCCGACAGGGCGACTAACTATGTACTGTAGTAGGGACCATGAATTGATGATCGGTCTTGTCCTTGAGGCTGCTTTCGAAATCCATCCGCAAGCCAGCAAGAACCCCCCGAACAGAGCCTGGCTCGAGTCTTCAAGTCAAAAGAGGAAGAATGCTAGGCATGGCCCGACATTTCAGCAGCCCCGAAGCCCTCTCTCAATCAAGATGTTCTGAGCATTTCTGAGCCCTCTCCAAGCACAAAAAAGCTTCGTCTCAGCACTTGGACATGAATCATGACTAAACACTTTGGCAATCTTTGTCCTGCCTGAGTTGGGATCTTGTAAGAATGCAGTGAGCTGCTTGTTGGCCTTTGGACTCAGATGCTCCGCGTGCCTGGAGACACACCGGCACGCTGGCATTGAGCCAAAAAGAAAACTGATTCAGCCTGGCGAGGATCTGGAGGCTTCGTAAGGAAGGCTTTTGCAGGAAGGAGCTCGTGTTCAAAACCTTGTTCGCCGCAGCCACCTTGGCACGGAACGCAGTGCTCTCGGATGCTTACCTCTGCGTCACTCCAAATGCTCACCGTTACGAGTTGCGGCATTCAGGACACATCTTTCCTGCACCCATGAGGCCCATGAGGCTTCATGAAGGTCGAGCAAACTCGAGCAAACAAGAAAGCGAGTTAAAGAACCACTGTGGATGATCACGGTAGGGTGGCCAGAATTGCCATTGAAAGCTTTGCAAAGCCCCACCATGACATCTTAGCCAAGTCCATTGGGCCATCCGCCACAACTTGTGGACGCCCAAGGTCAGGCAAAACGGAACTGTACACAAGTAATGTACCGGTCAGCCACCTCACCTCATCACCAATGGCCGGCCGATTGCCCTTCTTTCCCCTCAACTTCTTGAAGTTCGGATTGTCGATATGTGATGCCCGACTTCAAGTTCTGAGGCACCTTCTCATCCTCATGGCTGAGATCTTCGAAGGGTAAGCCATGCCACTGGAACCTGCCAACATTCAGACTCTTGAAGAAAAAAAATCCGACAATATGACTCTGTTGGAAGCGAGTATGTCGCTCCATGTTCGGTTTGTGACTAGGCATGTTGAAAATAGGGAGTGCCGGCGATGCTGAGTGGTGGGGGATGGTGTGGTGAGCGCTGGTGACCGCTGGTGGTGACAAACTGCATTTGCAGGCACAGCCGGTTCGAACGGTCAAAACGCAAACCGTTAAGCCGTTAAGCAGCTGAGCGGCCTCAACTAGCAGCGAGTAATTGGCACGTTGCGCCAAACAATGCCATGGAGCACCGCTATTCTACAGAAATTACCTACAAGCACTCCTATAAGCGTAATATAATGGCAAAAGAAGTGCGCAAGCCGAGCCCAATATAGCCAAATGGAAACCAAAATGCGCCTGCGCCGGAAGTGCAAGTAGCTTCTCATGAGCGCGACCCCGCAAGCGAAAGTGATGAGGGGAGGCCCCAGTGAGTCCGACTTGTCCAATAAGACACCCGTCATCAGCCTCAGAAGGAACAACGTGGCTAGCAGCTAGCAAGTGCTTTCGAGCCAAGGGGGTTGCAGATTGTGTCAGAATAAGACCACACCATCCGAAATTAGCCAAGCTGCAGGACATAGATGAAAAGGCCCTGCTGCACCTGATTAAGCTGAGCACACCAGAAGGTCCCGCCCGTGTCTGCCTTTGGGGTCTCTGAATAAACCAGCAAGTAGGCGTAGGTCACACGGCAAACAAAGAAGCAAATGAAGCCCAAAACGCAAATCAAAGGAGACAAACCTTGGCTGAAACATCTTGAGACGATGCATGTGGCCCTAAAACCATCCAGCATAACCGTTTAAAAATGGGCTGGCCAGGCCACTACAAAACAAGAGCGCCATGACCAGCAGCAACGCCATCCGCGCCGATCTCGCGCCGATGCCATAATTCGCCTGGTCCTCTGGCTCGCAGGCCTCCTTGGCCCGCTCAGCGCCCCAGAGCGCCTTGAGCGCGAAGTACTTCACCACGACGGTGTAGCGAGTGGCTTCCATGGCATACACGGACCACTGCAAGGGGAAGTAACCTCAACGCAACCGTGGCGCAAGTCTGAAGAGACCTCCAGGTTTAAACTGAAAAATGTGACGGCAAACAGGAACCAACACGCTATTGCAATCAAAGTGGCTCAGGTAGAAGTGAGTTGAGTATGGCAAGGTGTTGGCCAAAAGTGAGAAGATCTTGGCAGGATGCTCAACCAAACGCGAAAGTGTGTAGAACAAAGAGGATCCAATGGCTGTGACCATGAGCACAAAGACCACCAAAAAGTAAAAATACCATGTCTGAAGCTGCAGCTGCAACTGCCTTCCAGACTTCATCACGAAGAGCCATTCGCAAATAAACATCAGCCAATTGGGCAGGAGGCTCATGAAGAGCCCAAGCGCAAAGGCACTGGCTAGACCGTCCCAAATGGCTCGCGTCACGGGCCACAAGATCACCACCACATGCAAGCTGGGCATGATGGTTTGCAACGTCTCTAGCCGGGCCACAGCGGAGAATGCAACGATGAAGGGTGCAAAGGCCCAAAAAAGAAACAAAATGCAAGAGTAGCCCAGCAGGAAATCTCCAAAGCCCATTTCTCGTTTCTGCAAATCCTCGAAGCGAACATCTTCAGGTGCAGGAGGCGGAGACACGACAAACCTAGGCAAATCAAGGAATGCTGAACACACCACCGTCACCACCCGACAAACACACACCATGCTCAAACATGCTGAAAAATGTCGCCATCCAAGAGGCTGCAGCCCGTGCGCCCTATACTGCATGCGCAGGGCAATCTCCGCATCCCGCCGCTGCAGAAACGTCACAAAGCCATTGGTGGTGTAGGCACCACTGGCAAAGTCGGGCTCTCCAGCACCACAAAGACCCAATCGCCAGCGTTCATCATGCAAGGCCGAACGTTCGGTTTGGAGCTCCTGGGCCCAATGCTCGATGACATCGCAGACCTCGCCACTCACAGGACTTTCCAACATGATGTGATCCGCTGTGGCCGGACGACACGGGCTCTGTGGGAAAAAAGCGCGTGGCCGTTCCCCGGTCTCTTCAAACTTCTCCGTGGCCTCCTCCAATTGCTCCTCCGCACGCCGAACCATGGACAAATGCCACCGGAGACCCCGAGTGTTGCGTGTGACGTGAGCAGTTTCGACCACCTCTCGACCAAAGACCGAGTTGAAATATGCGATCAGCCCGCTGTCGGAACAGTGCTCAGGAGGGATATGCTCAACCAGTATTGTCTTGCATCTTGGTGGTGGCATGCGGCGAAGCCACTGGACACGCCTCCCAACGAATGACGCCTGCAAAGTGGACAGTCTTAAGGAGGATTTACAAGTAGTCTAGTCTTAAAACATCTCAAGAAAACAAGTGCACCCTGAAATGCAAGGAGAGGCTGAAATCTGCAAGTATATACTCTTTCTGGAAAGTGTGCATTGTGCCATCCTGCACGACATGTTGCATCATGCCCAGGCCCGACCTGTGCTCTTTTCAGAGAATGCTGGACCACGATGACCACAAACCAAACAATGCCGCTGTGAACCCAACACAGCCAGCTCCCTGACTCAACATTGGCCATCCCAATCCAGCTGAGCGGATCATCTTGATCAATACTGCCGCCACAAAAGAAATGGAGGGGGCAGAGGATGCAAATGAGCGGCAAGCCGATGATCGACAACACTTGCATGGACAAGTCCGCAAACTCCACCATCATGGCTGCATCAAGGCCTGCGGCTGCCTCTACATCATCGGTGTTCAAAGACATCGCGGCACGAAGCCAGCCCCACTTCTGTGCCAACATTTCCTGGGAACCCCATGGCACCCAGGTCTCTCGCAGCAGGTTCCCTTCGTGGAGAGGGTGGTTCCTCCTCAAGCGCTCCACGGACCGGAAGAGCAGCGCCACCAGGGCCGCGTTGCCCACCACACCCAGCGCCAGCGCCGAGAGCCCCCCCGTGGCGCCGTCGGGCTCCACGCCGCTGAGCCCCGCCACGTTCATCTCCTCGGAGCGCAGCACCGTGCGGCCCACCGCGGAGACCGCCTGACAAGGGGAGGAACGTCGGACCTGCCGTCAAACGGCCTTCTTTTGTTCTGGTGAGAAAACTGAGACATGTCCGTCATCCTTGCTTGCCTTCGTCCGATACAACATATATATATATATCCCGACGGGCTGACTTAAGACTGTGACACGCTTGTGAAAATCACCACATCTTTTAACGCTTTCACGTTTTTTTGATGACACACAACATTTCTTTTGGGCAACATGGAGAACGGACACCGATCTCAGACTCTCAGACACTCCATGTGTGGAAGATTGACCTACATGGACCCCAGGTGAACCACCTCAATGATGCACAACAGTTCATACATGGAGCATTTGGGCTTTTAGACCAGGACCTCAGGAGCTCATTGTTTGGGGGGAGCCTTCTTTCATCTTCTTTCCGTTCGATCGTCGGCTCGGCTCGACGTCGACCGTTGGACCGAGGGCCAGCCAGCGCACTTTCAAGACGCAGCACACGTTTCCCAGCGCGCGTAGAGTAGAGCTTTTGTCGACGCTCTTCGGTATCTGGGTACGAGGTCCGAAGCCACCACTGGTAAACGTAGAAGAGTTTCTTATGTATGAGTGTGTAATTTGAACCCACCCCACCCCACCCCCACCCCACACTCAGTCACTCGCATTGTGTAGCAACGTAGAAGGGTTTCTTCTGTATGGGTGTGCAAATTGAGCAGAACGTTAACGTACCATCCGACCAAAACCCTCGGAATCATGGCACAGTTCTGAAGTCGTAATTACAGTGTGTTTTACATCGACCGACGAAAACATGCGCGGTAAATACGCGTAAATACCGCGCTAAATTCCGAAAACGGATGCTCAAAAAAATGCGCGAATAGCGTATGAATGTACATGTGAAATTAACACACTCACAGTCTTGAGCAAACCCGTCTGGATATATATATATATATATATAAAATATATATACAGTAGCGTCTGGTTGAAGCCTGTTCAAAGAATTGTGCTTCGCCCTGGCTTCCGGGTCAAATCCCGCACCTGATTGGTCCACTTGCCGAGCTTTTCCAGCGCACGCTTGGGGCTCAATGAGGCTGGCGCCAACAAACCAAGCACCAGCAATCCATAAATGGGGATTCCATAGTTTCGTCGTCGCCGCATGGGGGCCGCAACTATTCAAGGCCCCGGCGTTGCGAGCATCCAGCCACAGAAGCGAAATTGGAAACAACTCCCAATTGGTACTCTGAGTGGTCTCTCTGGGATGGGGCGTGCAGTTTTTGCATTTTCATTCTCAGGGTCTTTTAGCATGTTCACTCAAATGTGCTCATACATGATGACCTCGGATTCAGAAACCAAACTTTCTGAAGAACACGGTAATTGCTAGCAGGAGTACAGGGAGCTGATGAGCAACCTGATCTCGCCCTGCGTCCATTTTCTTGCATTGTCCTGAATTGTGGCCCCCAGATTCAATGTCGTTGAAAGCTCTGAGCACTGAATTCTCGGATAAACAACTGCACGATCTGCAGTGTTACACCAAAATGTGCTTGTGTGTGTGTGCGTGCCTGTCTCTGCCACAAGCGCCAGAAGTAAATTCCAACTCAATCACATGTTGTTTCCTTAAAGTATCTCCAATATCTCCAATCAATCTACCGACCTATATTATCACATCATTATATAATATATATATATGTGTGTGTGTGTAATATATAAGTAGTTGTAAAAAATGCATTGCCGCTCTGTCATCTCAGGTGAACACTGCGCCCAGGCTACTCAAAAGCTCTGTCTCTTCTTCCTGGAACTTGATCACCTGGCAGTCCATTGTTTCCTCGTTGTCCAAAGGTGTTCGGACTTGGCGACCCCCCCTCCTTTCCTGAAATGACATGAGCCTTGCAGGCAAGTCGCTTCTTTCTTGCGAAGCCCAACCGATTCATCAAAGGAAGCCTGGTTCTTGTCGACCTCTTCTTGCCTCAAACAACAAGTGCTAGATCCATTCACCATTCATGTGGCAAGACTGCATTGGTGCGCAAAAATGCCGCACTATGTCTCTCCAAAGCAAGGGTTGACCCAAAAACAAAAAGGTGTGACTTCCAATCACACCAACTAGGCATCTGCAAGCTACACCCATTACTTCCAGTGGTGCTCAGCAGCCGACAGGGTCGAAATTTCCGTTTCCAGGCGTGAACTAATCGCTTCGAGCTCGGTGATGCGGCCCTCCCATTCCTGGCGCAGAGGGGTCGGCAGCGTTCTGGGTGCGCCTGGCAGCGAGCCTGGTAGTCAGGGGTCTTTGCTAAAGCTCTAAAGCAAGAGCAGAGCCATTGAGGCTTCTGTTGCAGCATCATTTTGGCACCCACGCACACACAGCGAAACATGCTTCGTCTCGGGCCTCGATGTGGGCCTGCGCCTCGAGAATCGCCTGGTTGATGATTCAGCTGAAAAAAGTCATCTAGCAGCATCTAGCATCATCTAGCATTTATATAAATGCATTTATATAAACCCCTGGAGACTAACAGACTAACATGAACCCTGAGAATTGACCCGTGGTGGAAGACCTTTCCTTTATAACCCCGCCCATGTTGATCTGCAAAAGAGTATTTTCGGCTCATCTCCTTTCTAGGAAGTGTCATTTTTGCCCTCCAACCGGCCCACCCGGTGCCTTCTCCTTGGCTTCCCCATTCTCCTGCGCCGCTAGTGGTCTATGGTCTGTTGCTCTTCCGTACTGTCACCGGATGAATCTCTGAATCTCAGAAATGTGCTCTCACAGCCCCTAGTAGCTTCTTGCTCCTAGTATCGATGCCAGGAGCCCCTAGTAGCGTCCTTGCTCCTTGTAGTAAGGCCAGGAGTCCCTAGTCACTAGTCTCACATCGTCCTACTTGACACAGCTGAGCTTCATAAATGCCCAAGAATGGACGCAGCCCCGCTCCTTGCACCAACAGGTGTGCTTCTCCATCAGCTCTGCCTCCTCGGCTGCTTCAGTCTCCAGCTGCACCTGCATGGCGGCTGCCCACAAAACTTCGGAAAGGTCTAAAAAGCAAAAACAATGTGTGCACGGCAGTCGCCCCATAGCCTTCATGCTCTGAAGCAGTTGCACAACTTTGCTGACAGGCCTCGCCTGGCAAAGCTTCGTTCAGACGGTTTCAAAATTATGACCAACTCATACTCTGAAACCTGCGAAGAAGAGTTGACAAACTTTGCAATCTTTCAATTCTTGCACAACGGGTTTGTCTTGGCACTCTTTTTTGCTCAAATGGGTTGCAATCGATCATCCACAACGGCGGCTTCGAAGTTCTGATCAGGGTTCGGGATGTAGAAGGCTTCAGGCCTCTGGGCAGAGAGCCAAACTTGCTATGGTGTATGGTGTTCTAAACCTGCTGGAGCTCCGTTGCATCTGGATTAGATGACATGATCTGAAAAGTCCGCACCCTTTCATCTTTGGCTTCGACAGCGTGGTCCAACCTGAACGGATACTGCATGTGGCTCCGCCGGCTCAGCCATGGCATGAGTCTAGACAAGGCTTGAAACTCGTGGCTAAAGGCCAAGCTTGCCCGAAAGCTAGCTGGTAGCTCATACTGTAACCATGCAACTGGTTGAAGCACTTAGACTTCCTGCTTCCTAAACCATGCAACTGATGCATTTGTTTAAAGATGTTTAAAGCACTTAGGCTTCCTGTTTCGCTGCACGAATTCCCCCTCCCTTGGGCAGCTACCTGCGAACAACTATCAGCCAACTATGGGCCAGACAAAACCCAAACAGCATCAAAAGAGATGCGAGGGTTAATGGCCCGCTCATGGCCCCCCATCCAAGCTGCTCTCCATCGTCATTGCCACACCCCGATGCAGGCGGGAGATTTTGTCTCAACTTTATGCCCACATCGGATTCGCTCAGCACCTTCGTCATGGCCCACGACAATGGGTGTGCCAGGACGTTGCTCACTGGAAAGCTGACTGCAAAGGTCAAGTATGCATCTGGTGAGGTGACTTGCAGATTGCATCCTTTGTCTTTTCTCCCATTCTCGTCCACAAAGTGATGCAGGCTGCCGGCATGCATGAGGTTGATCAAATACTCGGGCATGATGGCCACCTTGCATGTTTCATTGCGAAGCAGGAGCGGTATGTTGTGGCTGTCTGGAACTGGATGGAAGTGCACTTTCGGATGGTCTTCGACAATCTGTTTCCACGCAAGCTGGTCGACGCAAACCACCTCATCAACCACTCCCTCTAACCCCCCAATGCTTCCAGCGGAATGCCTCTGCCCGAGGATCTCAAAAAGCTTTGCCGTGTAGGTTGTGCCAACGATGAGCATATAGAACGCAAAGCCAATAGTCATCCATTTGTTGGGTGCTCGATCACCAATTAGCAGCTGAGCGGCTTGGCGGCCGACGTCTCGAAAACTCTGCCTTGCCCTGTCCACCTGGTCTGTGACACGGCGGTCTGCGTCATCATGGTCTGCTGTGACATCTCTTGTTGTTGCTGCTGCTGATGCTCGCTCGCGGACCCTTTTGTCAATCAAGTGAAGCGCAGCTGCAAACCCAAAGACACCAATGATCTCCAACCAGGCCCCTAGGGTGAATGGACGAAGAAAAGCCCAACAGCCAAACTCGTCGACCTTCTCTACAAAGAAGAAGTGATCAAACCTGATAGGAGGCAAGAACGAGACGATGGAAGCTCTTTCTGGCGTCACCCACGTGTCCACAACGCAAAGGTCAAGATTCCCAATGGCCACATCATGCAGGCAGTAACTATACGAGGTATCAGGCATAGCATCTTGCATTGCCCATGCTTTGAACCATTTCTTTGGACTGATTAGTCCACCACTGCATCTTCCCTTTGAACTGTTTGTCCAAAACCGGGACAGCTTTGAGGTTTCGCTGGTCTTTGATTGGCTTTGTTTGTGCCAAGCTGGCCACCGCTTTCTCAGCAAGCTCCTCCAGCAAGCCTTGCTGAGGGTCAGCAAGACCCTCGCTCGGGCGAATGGCCGCCTGGATATGAAAGCCAGAGAGCCACTTCCCGAAGCGGCTGCCCTCTTCAAAGCTCCCCAAGTTGCCACAGGTCTCATAGCTGTAGCGTAGGCTCCCATTGGTGACGTAGACACTCTCTGTTGTGGGCCGCTCTCTGCAATAGAGATTGTGGGAGCCGGGATCTTTCTGACATTTTTTCTTGACCAGCTTGCACTTGTGGATGTCGACGTAGCACCAGGCTCGATTGTACGACTTAGGGAACTCGTCATCGCGGAACTCGTCCGCGTTGTAGAAATCGCAGCCAAGCATGCCATAGTTTGAATTGTTGGCCTTCTCCTTTAGCAACCTCCTGGAGAATGTCCAATCATGGGAGCTCTCGTTCATGCAGGGGCACGTCTCTGCTCCCGGACTCAGGTGCTTCAGGGCCATCCCGACATTTGCCAACACAACGATGGCAACCTGAAGGAATCTGCTGGCCATGGCACGATCCCGAACCACTTTCTGGCGTGGATCAACGATTGGGGTTGAGAGCACTAAAAACTGGGCACGATCAACATGCTTGGTGGGCCTGGCCCAAGGGGAGCAAGCGTCATCAAGTGAGTCAATCAGTCTCGCCCCGCCTGACCCTGCTGGCCACTTTGCGACGAGCCAAGATCTCCACGACCGCCTGGAAGGCATTCCGCGAGGAGGAGAGGTTGGGACAGACATGCTTCTCCACCTCCTCCAGCTCATGCCTTCAGCGGTGAGCAAACACCACGGTCATCATTCATGATACACTGGCTCAGCAACACTCGAGCCCAACAAAAACAGAACTGCTGCTGAGCCACCGCGTCTGCCAGTCGCCAATCCACGACACCTCTGGTGGTGGATAAAGGTACCAACCTGAGTGAAACCAAACAAAATCCGATTGACTCAGCACCCCCTCTCCCTCTCTCCATTTCTCTCTGTGGGCTTCCATGGCGGCCCAATTCATGCACAAACATCCTATATAGGTCTACGGAATTCAAATTCTGGAACACTGTGCTCACCTCTCTCAGCACCTTCCAAGTGGCATCGCACGTTGCGCGCGTTGGCGGCGTATCGTTCGGCCACATCCAAAGGCAGACTGGTCAAGAAGGAAACCAAAGACTCATCGATGCGTGACACTGGCCACTTGATGACGAACCTGTGGCAGAAATCAGGGTGTGGCCAGCTGCAACACGTCTGATGTCTGGCCGAGTGGCTGTGTCGCATCAAACAGCTGGTCGAAGGACGGCTGATAATGATCCTGCAAAAAAAACACCCAAAAGGACACACGTGAAAAGTGGTTGCACAGCTGCACCGCCCGGTCCGACAGCAGTACTGGCACACAGCCAGCCCAAAGGGCTTCAAAGAAGCGCACCGACCACGCAGCGCGGCCACGAGGCACAAGGCAGAAAATGCTGTCACCCATTAACCTTGCGTCAGGCCAATCTGCCACAGACTTTTGACTAACCCTCGCAAGTGCAAACTGCAAGTGATGCCACCTCTGCATGCCATCTGAATTCAGCATGTCTTTGATGCTGGCATAACCATGTATTCCTCGGACGTGCCGGTGTCCACATTCACTCATCATGATACAAACTACCCGCTAGTGATCCTTTTCCAGGCTGACGCCTCAACCTCTCATACAATCTCCCGGCCTTGTGTAAATGCAGGCTGGACCGACCTTTCCACGCCAAACCGTATAAATAAATATATATATATACACACGCACACACATGTGTGCGTGTGCCCCTTGTGGTCACAGGGATTCTTTTGAATTTGACTTGACTGATTCACTTTTTCAAGCAGGGGGACATGGCGTGCGTTCAGGGACCATGTCCAACGAAGCTACCTGACGCACGGGATATGAGAGCTGATCACTCTCACGTACCTGCATTTTTCCACTGCATTTCAACTTTTAAGCTTTCCGTCATGCACTCTGCAGTTGTGAGCGACCGTCGTCATCCTGTCGTCCCGATCTCGACTTGAGTTTTTGGCCTCACTTCCTTTTGAAGATCCCCAGGCTCTTTAGGGCTTTCCTGGACCTTTCAGGATTTGGGTTTCTTAGGCTGGCGTGTGGCATGTGGCATTCAGTTCCGTATGCATATCTATAAGTGTGTCTCTCCTGGTGAGAGCCCGGGATGAGCCCGCAGAATGCCTCCCGTGGACCCGTCGAACGGGGGTTTGTCGAACGTATCCCCTGCCCGGATACAAAGCAGCTCGCAGCGAGCAAAGTAGGCTTAGGCCAAAGTCATTTGCCAAGATTTGTCGAATTATTGCACTCCAAGTTGGCTTATGCCTGAACGTGGCCGTAGCGACCAAAGGTGGCAGCCCTCGGGCAAGCCGTACGTGGTCGTAGCGACCAAAGTTTGTTCAAGGTTCAGTGGAACCTGTCGGATTTTTAGGCGCGCACACATTGTACACACTTGGCAGGTCTTCTTAGGTCGTTGTAATGAGGTCTGGTTTCATCGGTTCCCGTCCCCCCTTTTCATCCTTTCCCCTTCACACACTTCTTTTCCTTCTTTCTTTTCATGTCTTCCCTTGCTTCATGTCCTTTCATCTCACTCCTTTCTTTCTCTTGCGCGCACAACGGTTCGGGCCTTAGGTTGTACGCGCACATGTACTTTTAAACTCAGGTTTTAGGTCGCCCAGGTCTCGACAATGAGGTGGGGTTCATCAGTTGTCCCTGTGCACTCACACACACTTTTGTCCCGTCTCGTCCTCTTTCTCATGTCTTCATCCTTTTGTCTTTGCTGCGCGCACATTTGCACATTCGCGCTAGCCTTAATTGTTCTCCCCTCGGGGAGGCGTGTGTGTGTGTGTGCCCCTTGTAGTCACAAGGATTCTTTTGAACTTGGCTTGACTGGTTCACTTTTTCAAGCAGGGGGACATGGCGCGCGTTCAGGGACCATGTCCAACGAAGCTACCTGACGCACGGGATATGAGAGCTGATCACTCTCACGTACCTGCATTTTTCCACTGCAGTTCAACTTTTAAGCATTCCGTCACGCACTCTGCAGTTGTGAGCAACCGTCGTCATCCTGTCGTCCCCAGGCTCTTTAGGGCTTTCCTGGGCCTTTCAGGATTTGGGTTTCTTAGGCTGGCATGTGGCATTCAGTTCCGTACGCATATCTATAAGTGTGGATCAACTCCTGTTTCCAAGGGCTTCGACCACATTAAGGAATCTACTTGCTACTTACTGTTAATTCAATCGAGGTTTTCCTTTTACATGTACAGCGCAGGGGGTCCAGGCAGTTGTGAGTTGGCCCTGGACCTGGTGAAGCGAGAAGGGACGCCTTCTTGTGTACCTGCATCAATTTTAATCTCTGGTAAAGTGCTAGTGTGCTCTTGTTGAAACATTCAGTTAATGCGGGCTCAGCCACTCCTTCCGTTCTGCAAGTCAAGGTCTAGTTTCAGTAACGTAAAGTGCTAACCTCACTGGGAAGTCACAACTGATACAGCTCTTGCGAGCATCAATCTAAGTGTGCGCCGTCAAGGGTGAACCTGCACTGAACACCCGTCACTCCTCGACTCCTCGACTATCACTGATTTAGCTGCCTGCTCGAGATCGCTGATTAGAAGCTGCAGGGCTCACTCACTTTCAGAGAATGACATACCATGCGGCTAAGTAGTCATAGGCTTGAAGACATACAGCCAAGTATTCATAGGGAGTTTCACCACCAATTTTTAAAGAGCATTCATTGCTCATCCTGCGTCATCTATACTCACGGACTTGTTCTAGCTCCAGAACTTGCAGCCATGCACTATCCTTGGCACGTTCCTACCGCACCGTCGACTACGGCCCCAACGACGCCAACCTTCTATGGTCCGGCACAAGTGGCACATCCGCATATGCCTCCACCACTTGCGACAGTCCCACCACCACCACCACCACACTATTAACCAACCCCACAACCATGCCCAGTGCACCCAGCCTATGCCACGCCGACGATACTCTACACCATTACCCAACCCCACAACCATGCCCAGTGCACTCAGCCTATGCCACACCGACGATACTCTACACTTCGCCAGCCTATATTGGTCAGCCGTTTCATTCTGCCCATCAAGCTCCACGAACACCACGGCCGCTGACCCGAAGGCGACTGCACTTCCGCCATCAACACCGGCTCCAAGCAGGTCATCAGCAGCAGCAACTGCGCCTCTTTCCATCTCCCAGCAAGCATCACCTTCGACATCCACACACCAACCGCCACCGCCGCCACCTCAGCTACCTCAACCATTACCACCACCAACACTGCCACCACCAGTGACAGCTACTCAGCCACCGTCACCATGTCCTCTACAAGCTCAACAATCACAGTCCAGACCGGCTGTCCGCAATGGCCACACACGACCGTTGCCAACTTCACAGACCATCAACGTGACAGTCCGCCACCTCCACCTGCGCACTCACGCAACCCCCAACCCCCTCAACAACCACGCAAACCCAGAGGTGTTTGGGCGCCACCGCCCCTGCGGCAACGCTCACGTACACCGCCACGGCAACACATAGGTTTGGTGCCCGAGCATGCAGAAGCAACCTCGTCGACTGGCACAGCGGCAGCCTCCCCCCCACAAAACCCAGTGGGATGTTGAACCAGCTGCACCTCTACACCTCAATCCTACACACAGGCCGACCAAGACAGTGTCAGTGTCGCCAACCAAGATGAGCTCACACAGCTCCACCAATACCTCCACCACCAATGCGACCAACTTTACACACCAGGCAACCAACCCATGCTCCACTATGTCATTCAAGCACAAGACCTCCAGGAACTCCAACAGTGGACCCAAGGTGAGTGGAAAGATTCCCTCCAGGATTGTGACAAAGTGGAGCTCTTCACCCTATACATCCCCAAACTACAAACACGCTCCCGCATTTCCCACATACCGGCACGTCGACGTTCCACTGACAAACAACACGGCGGCACATAGCACATTTCTTCCGCCCGAGCACTTTGCATGACCCAAAACGCAATTGAACCAGTGGAATACTGCACGCGTGCTAGCAAAGACTAGCGCACTTCACAAAAAATCAAAGCCTTCTTGCGTTTGATGGCTTTGGGAACCGGATGCAAATTCACCTAAGATGACCGCCTTCTCAAGCTCGGGCACGGTGCGGTCAAACATGACTGAGGCAAATGCTTCGGAATTCATCCAGACAACGCAGTGATTCGTGGTCTTGCGTGGCAATGTTCCGCCAGTCCACCCACCCCAATCTTTCCTTTGAGAAAGCAAAACCGCCCAACGCCGACTGAACTCAGCAGGACAGTTCTATCTATGTTTTTCCGCCTCAGCAGAAAGATTTTCTTAACCCTTGCGAGACTTGACAGCACAGGTGGGTACGACTTCATCTCCGCCGATCATTCACGTGTCCGACTCCAACACCACACCAACCTCACCCGCTACATCAGCAGCCAACACTTCAGCCGACCCACCCGCTGACCCTCACTTCGGCGACTCCACGGACAGGCCTCCGACCAATTCCGATGCCACCAGTGCCGCCAACAAGCAACCTCCACCAACAGGCCTAGCACTATCACGCCAGATCTCCACCGACCCTTGGCTGGTCCCCCGCACACGCGCGATCCCTTATTTGACATGGGGTCCTGTCACGCATCCCGACGCCACTGGCCAAACAACGCCGCCCCTCCCACAAGCCCTCCAGACAACGAGGGAGGGCTTGCCAGCACCACCCCACCGCCAATGGTGCCACCTTTAACCAGCCTTCAGCCGGCAACGTCCCCAACCGCTACCAGCGATGCCAAGCTCACAACCACCCACTGGAGCAGGTGGCACATGCTCAAAGCCACCCGCAGGCAATCCCAATCAGTATCATGCCACTATTGCGCACACCCGGCCTGGATTTGTCTCCATCCAAGAACACATCACGCCGAGGATCTCCCCTGCCAACCCGCTCCTCAGCCCCATCCACTGGCCCAACACATCCGGCAGCTCAGCCCCTCAACATCGCTCAGATTCTTCAACCCACACACCCGTCCCTCAAGGATGACGTGCCCACGAAAAAGGGCCATCGCACACATCAGCGCTTGGGTGAAACAGTTTGGTGATGCCATTCTGTTTGATGCCACACGAAAAAAGGGCCATTCGATCAATCAGGCCTCAGCTTACGAGATTTAATGACCGGAAAGGGGCCGCCGTTACATGTGGCATACCTCTCAGCAAGGTCCAACGCCTGCCAGTAAAAAGCCTTCAGCAGCTCGTTGCCGTAGGGGCCGCCATGGCCTCCTGCCTGCCGCTCACAGCAACATCAACTAACCTACAACACATACGCACCCTACACAAAGCCCTCTCCACACTCACCCACCATGCCCCCTACATCGACCGCGCAGAAGCCATCTGCAGTCTCGGCCTCCTCCATCCATCCAAGACACGCAGATCTCAGCAACGGCGACATCGCTTTCAACACCAACTGCAGATCCACCCCAACCACAACACTTTCACCCATTTCATTGCACCAAACTCAGTCTATCTCAAGCTCCACTTCAATTCACACGACGCACAACGCTGCTATCACCAGCACGGCCACTTTTATGTGGGTTCCACAGCCGTCGGCATCCCACACAAGAGAACATAACAGACGTGCAAAACTCAACCAACTATCACACCAGACACCTATTTCTGCTGAGATATTGGCACTCCACCGGCACCATCACCGACTACTCCACCATCCACTTATCCACCCATCCAGATCCACGAACACCTTCACATCTCCAACTGGCAACCCACCCTCAATTGGCCTTTCATCTCCCAGCACCTTAAGCTCAAAGCAGATGGATGGCAGTTTGCTCGACACCGTGCTCATTTCCGGCCATGGCTACAGCCAATCACTACAGGCTCTTCCGCCGCCTCCGAGGACGACTTCACACCACCAAACAACCAGTTCTCCACACATCTCACAAACTTCAATGCACATACAATACTCCGTAACCTGACCAAATCCACCAGAGCCTCTTATGACGAAGCCCGCCGACTCCATTCAGGCCGCTTCGCCGATCTTGAAGTATATGCAATCAGCCGAATGGCCACCAGCCAAGAAGAACCTCGTCGCAGCAAAGCCATCCACATCATCAACGAGGCCCTGAAATACCGCAACCTCACACCACCAAAACCAACCAGCCGCCCATTCCATTCCTGGCTCACCAAGATTTTCAGCAGAATACCCAAACATGGCTGACCACCATCCTCCACCAACACAAACACCTGGCCTGGCCATTCCATTCCATCTTCCTTTTCCACTGTCCTCCTCATGAGGATCAGCGGCTGCGCACATCTCAGCACACTTCTCGTCAACACCCGCCACTCTCGCACTTGGACGCCTTCAATTACCACAACATCTGTGCCATTTACTAGGCGCCAATATGAGCAGCACGTTCTTTCCCTCAAAGGACAATACCTCGACGCAAAGCCATGGCGAAATTGCAAAAACATCACGGGCCGCCCCGAGCCGGTATTGGCTCCCAACTCTCACCAGCCTTCTGCAATGTCGCCATTACACTTATCGAACGCTCATGGGCACAACTCCACCACAGCCTCGCAGACCACACACAGATTCACTTCACCCATTACCGCTACGTGGACAACCGCTTCATCACCTTCAACGACATTTTCCTGAACCACATGGGCATCCAAACCTTGACTCAACCCGACTTTGTCGGCAATTCAGTGGAGCTGGAGCCCGTGCAGGATATGCACCTCCTTGGCTTCGATGTGGACCTCACCCATAGAACGATCACCTACATTGCACAAAACGCGACATGCAAGATCAGAGGTCACGCTTCAGGAGGTTCTCAACGCCTACGCCTTTCGGGCCTCACATCACGAGCACATCTCATCCGCAACGGGCGAGCACTTTCTCAACTGGCCCACCTCTACGCCCAAAAAGGGCACGACCTAGTGCAGTGCATTCGTTTGGTGCGCGGAAAAGTCAAGCTGCTTCTGTCACATTCAGTCCATTCCCGCCTCACGAATACCTTATGAACTGGAACATGTACCCAGCGATGGCGTTGTGTGGTCTCATGCGTTCTTTTTGTTCACTTCACTACTCAGGGAGCGCCGGAACCCGGCTTCTTGTGTGTGTCAACTCCTGTTTCCAAGGATTTCGACCACATTGAGGAATCTACTTACTGTTAATTCAATCGAGGTTTTCCTTTTACATGTACAGCGCAGGGGGTCCAGGCAGTTGTGAGTTGGCCCTGGACCAGCGAAGACGGACTCACAACTGGTGAAGCGAGAAGGGACGCATATCTTATGGCTAAGGCTAAGGCTCGAAACCCTGGGGCCTCCCCCAGCGCAGCCACCTGGCTCCGCACCTTTGCCGCCTCGGCCACCGACTCCGAGTCCCAGAGCTTCCCGGCAAAGGACGCCACGAAGGACCGCGAGCGCATGGCCTGGCGACGATCGGCGGTCGAGCGAGCTCACCAAGATGAGAGTTCAGAGTTCTGAACTCCAACTTGGGCTCTCAATGGTTCTCACGGATTGGAGGCGTAGCACCGCCTTGCTGTGGCGGTGAAAGCCCAGAATGTCTCGCAGGTTAATATACCTTGGGAGAAATGGACAGGCTGAACACTGAACGAACTAAACAGTTTAGCTTCGTGACTAGAAGGAAAACACTGGAAGTAAGTGTGCAAGGCTATTTGAGGCCAAGGACGGTGGTACCACGATGTCTTTCAAAGCATTGAAGGGCGGGAAGCGGGTTTGATCCAAGCCAAAGTCCCCAAGGGACCGCTCAAAGCCCACTTCCGTCTCAGGAGTCAAAATGACGCTCTTCGGGATCTGTTTTCGCCAGGAAGGGAAGAGGTCGATGTAGTGGAAGGAAAAGATATGATCCTGACAAACTAGCGGCACTAGAATCACTAGAATTAGAATGACAGCTTTCCGATTGAATGAGGTCACTAGTCACTAGTCAAGATTCAAAGTTTACGGGGGGCCAATTGACAGGTGACAGCGCGAGAACTCTACATGCCAACTGCCAGGAAAGCGTCTCTGCCACCACTCTGCTGGAAATACGCAAGCTGAGACACCACTGCCTCATGATCCGCGTCCAAGTCGTCAAAATCCGCCATGCCTGCCACCTGATGGCAGCACGCGTAGCTTGGGACAAAGAAGTAGTCCGCTTCTTCTGGCTCGAAGGTGCGGATGGGCGAGGTCCGGAAGAAGTCATGGAAGCCCACGTCCATTCCCCACTGCCGATAGTGGCAGAAGGCCGGCGACCGTGTGAGCTTCCCAATGGCCTCGACTTCAGACTCCCCATAGACATAGACGCGAACAGGTTGCACCACTTGAGGCAAACTGGGGATCAATGCAGCTGCAGGAGCAAGCTCCCAAGGAACTCGAAGAGTGAGATTGCCTTTACGCCCTGTCCTGCGCTGCTGCATCTGCTGGAGTGCATGGGAGGCAAAGCCACCAAGGTTCTCCTGCGAGAGTCACATCAAAAGAACAGAAACTCTGACTTCGTCAACGACCATCTAGCTAATCTATAAAAACCATGCCTTTAAGATCACCCAAACTGAGAGAGTCAAACTTTCGCCTCAGCCGCTCCCTCTCCACCATGTCCGGCACCTCATCCAATGCCTTCATTCCTTGATCCAAGCGCCGGCCAACGATCTCCCGAAAGCGGCGGATCTGGTAGAGAAGACGGTCCTTCCAAAAGCGCACATCCTGCGTCGCGCTGCGCACGTGTCCAGGTGGCCCCACGAATGTCTTGGCAACTTGAATGTCCAGGGGTCTAGAATGAGAACAAGCCCACAAAGGGAGATCACCACTAATTCTCCTGGTCACTCAGCGGCCATGCACTGTGCTGGAAGAACCCAGGATGAGCTGCCGTCAGAAAGTGGTCATGCAGCACAGCCTTGAATTGTGCACCCCTGTGGCACGTCCCTTTGAATCCTCCTGGTGATTCCATTGTCTAGTAACATATTTCTTTTTACTATACAACAGTTGTGCCGCCGCTAGGGAACCTGAAGCCTCTTGCAAGCGGGGGTCAGAATGGCTTGTACAACAACTTGCTGGTGTCAAGTTCCGATGCGACTGTGTGCGCAAAAAGTGCTCATGTCAAGCTGGCCTACCAACCTGTGACCTGCGTACAAAAACTCGCATAGTTTCCCTATCGAGATCTTGCTGAGATGAGTCACGAAGGTTTGGAGGGCCGCAACGAAGCGTCCACGGCGCCACGCACCCACAACCTGCTCAAGCAGGACTCATTGCGGTGGCGTCCAGACATTCAAGGTGTGGAGGGAGTGGAGGGTGCTTTCTGCTATGCGGTCTCGTCCAAGTCGAGACTCGTATCAACTCCACATCGACCAACCCTCACTTACGAGTCTGCTCAGATTCACATGTTTGGGCCCTCGGCTGCACCAGCCTGTGCCAAAAGCAGCGTGGAGCTTCCCAAGAAGCAGCTGCCATCGGGTCCAAGCCCCAACTGCACTGCAGCCTCCTAAGTGAAAGGCTTAAAGGCTCAAAGCCAACCAAAACAATGGGCGCTTCACACTTGCGAGGCTGATACACCTGCCATATCCTCTGGGCTGATCAAAATCAGCAAAAATCTGAAGCACGCTGCTCCAACCAAAGTCCTGCGAGCATCTAATGCTGATCCCTCACCCAACTTCTTGGGTTTTGGGGTGCCCTCAACAAGGCCCAAAAACCACCTCCATCCGACCCTGCATGAGCTCCTCAGCCTGCTGTGCCTTGAGCCCCTCTGCTGTGGGCTCTGCCCCATAGGCGCCCAGATCCAAGCCACCCAGCTGCGCCAGCCAGGAGGACCACGGCACCAGGCTGCTGCAGTTGGGATCGGTGAAGAGTCCATCCATGTCGAAATCCGATCCAAATCATTGAATCGGATTCAAACCGGTGACAGAAGTGATTGAACATGGACTAGCAAAAATCTCACAAATGCTACTGTACACATAATTTGTCTGTTGATCCGGGACCTGGGCGTGTGCCCATGAGATTTCTGGCTTTCGTGGTATGAAGATGTAGGTTTCATGTCATACTGTCAGGTGCATGCCCATGGGCAAGCGCACGTGTTGGTGAACACACATCAAGCAAATCAACAACATAATTGCACACCATTGAAGGTATCATCAGCATTTTGAGCCACTGTGTGCCCTGCAAGAGCTCCAAAATGCCCAAACACGCTGAGCCGATCCTTCATTCCAATTGGTCCTCCAGTTGGGAGAAAAATTCTAGAGGCACCTCTTTAATACCAGGCCACTTGAGTTGATCATCTCACCACTTTGCCATGATTTGTACTTTGGTACGTTTGTGGCTGGCTTTCCAGGAGCACTGAGACTTGACTCAGAATTTCATCCACGAAGTTTCCTCGTCGACCCATAATTCAGCCTCAACAAAACTTAGAATTACAAAAACCTTTCATATGGTAAGGCCAGAATCCTTAAATAAAAAAGAAGTCGAAAAAAAAATGTCAAATGGAAAAGTCAAAAAAGTCAAAAAAATAAATAATCAATCGGAAAAGTCAAAGTCAAAAAGGTCCAATGGAAAAGTCGAAAAAATGACCAAAAAGTAGTCTAGAAAAAAGTCGAAAATAGATCACAACTCGAAAAAATAGATTAATTAAAATGTCAAAAGCAGTTCCAGGAAAAAGTAAATAAATAGAAAGGTTTAAAAAAGAAAAAACAAGATTAGAAAACAACTCCAAAAAAAAGTCGGGGAAAAAAACGTCTCAAAACAAAATTAGAAAACAACGCGAAAATGTTTAAAATATATATATATATACATACTAAGAAAGTCGGAAAACCGTCGGACAAAAAGTCAAAAAAATAGATCAAAACAATATATATGAAAAAAGAAACGGATCTGTGCCAATTGACTTGCTTTTTGACTTTCTGAAACTTTCTGATTTGACTGGTTTTTGACTTGGACTTTTTTGGGACTGGCTACTAAGTTGATGTTTTTGACTTCTTAAATTTTGAAGACAGGCTCTCTCTCCTACGAAAGATTCTTATAAACTTAGAACATCTTGCAAACCACGGAGCCACCCTGGCCTTTGAAGACCCATCCAACAGCAGCGCTGCCACTGGCGCCAGGAAGGCCAGCAGCCGCATGACTTCCTGAGCGTCAGCGGCGACACACCTCCAACTCCAAAGAACTGTGTCTTCCCTGTGCGGATCATAGCAATTGGTGTCACAGCTTTCACTCCTTTCCGCTCTGCTCCCTTGTGCCGTGAAGGAACAATGCGGATCCCGGCCACCACACCCGACTTGATCGGTGCTGTAGTGGCTGCGGGGCAGTGTATGTTGGCTGCTGTGTGTGGATCAACACCGAGAGAAACATCAAACCTTGTGTGGATCAAACCTTGGACATTTCAGATCTAGAAGTTTCAGCTCACCCTGACTCTGCTGTGCTGATGTGGTTCTGTTCTCTGAGCGAGCTCAGCTTCCAACGTGGCCTGTGGCCGCAGAACAGCCTGCAAGGACTGAAGTTGCAAGTTGCAAAGCCAAGCAGGCACAAGTGAAGATGCTTGCAAAGGCAGCGAGAAAAAATGCACTCAAAAGCTGTTGTGGCCTTTTCCGCGGCAATGCTGTGAAAACATCATGTCACAAGTCCAAGACCCCCGAGGTCATTCAACACTCTACCACATCTGGAGGAGCTTACCCGTCTGTAAGGCCCTTGATTGCAGAGAATAGCACCAATCCTTCTACCCATTTCTCACCAATCAGCGAGGGCAGGAAGCCAGCAGAGCGTTCTTTGAGGGATGATCTATACTTGATGGAGAAGCTCAGCCTGCCAAAGCAATACCTCACAAGAAAGCTGCTCTCGGGTGCCAGGACCGAGCCAAAAGAAGAGTAACCAACTCAAGAATAACCTGTGCCACCACAGAAAGAACACACAAAAAACACCAAAAGCGTACGGCATACGGACAACCAAGTCCAGCATGCTTAGCTTGCCAAAGTACAGGAGCATTGGCAACAAGATCCATGGTCCAAACACACTGCTGGCCAGAACAGTGTTCACCAAGAGCCTTTCCAAATGCCAACTCAGGAAGTAAAACAAGAAGGACGACCTAGTTGTGTTCGTGACTTGACTCTATTCTATGCCACTATGTCAGGACAAGTGACAAGTGACAAGACCACAACAACATGGATAAATGTTTTCAGCTTCGTTCAGTGAACACGTTGGTAGATTCAACTCCCTTGAAAACCTCTATTTCTACCTATACAAATATACGAGTATATATATATATATTTATTATGTATAACTTTTGTCGAATCGTTGGCGACTTCCTTCAAAGTGGCAAAGGCAAAGATTCATCCATGTTGAAGGCCGCCCTCTGTGCCCGGTTGAATCGGCCAACAGTCCCAGTATTCGCCATGAGGACATAAGGGGCATCCTGCACTGCGAACAAAACCAAGCAAGCAAGCAAGCAAGCAAGCAAGGAGAAACTATGATGGTTGGCCATACCCTGCGGCCTTGGGACATCTGCCGCAAAAAGACAAAAAATGCCTCTGTCCACTATCGACTATTTGTCAAGTAAGGACATGTCTATCGCATGCGGTCCTTGAGGGAACCCGAAGACTCCATGATCTTGTAGACATGCTGGTCAGGGCGGTCGACTCGCGCCCCTGCACGCGCTGCATTGGCAAGGACAGTCACACCAGAACGGGTCATGCCGGCGATCCAAACACATAGGAAGACATAGCCGAGCTGGTTCTCATGGATGAAGTTAAACTTTCTCTCCAAAATGGCTCCACTACCCAAGTGCTTGGCTGCAAGATAGGTCAAGCCAGCCACTACAAGCCCAACCAGCAGAACAGCAAGCACCAGCCTCAAGTACTTGAAGAAGGCCCTGTCTTCGGTTTCGGTCTCTTGCGTCAGAGGCTGCAAACCTAAATGGTCACGATTTGCAAACTCATCCTCGTTTGATGAAACGGAGTTGGAGGACATCCAGGAGGTTGAGTCATGCACAAACAACAAAATGAGCTAAGCAGCTGCAGTTTGAAGGATCCACCGATCTCTGTCTCTCTCTCTCTCTCTGAAGACAATTGTGCATTATATATCTAATCACAGGACAAGTCCAAGGTGGAAAAGAGCCGGCAACACAACATGCATCAAGAATACATTCTCAAATTCGCAGAACATGTCGTCGTAGCAGAACCAGGACATCAATTTCAAAGCATAAAGCAAACAATGTGAAATAATTCAAGTCTTTCAATACAGGCCAGCACCTAGTACCACCTCGCTGACCGCGAATCGTCCTGCACGCGAACACACACACATGCACACGCATACAAAAGCTGCTCCACAGCTGTCACGGTTGAAAACAAGAAATACAGAACAACCACAGAAAGCCAAAAAGCAAATTGACAGCACAGCACATGGGACCTGAACTGGAGAAGAGCTTCGCGACGTGCTTTCCGTGAGGGACGCATTGCATATTTTGCAGAGGTCAATGCGACATCTTCTTAGCTTCTTCCCTCGGTTTGCACAAGGCAAACCCGACATGCAGCCCAATCCTTTTTGAAGCTGGTCATGTGGTTCCAATCTGCGACATCTCCGCCAATTGCTCCTCCACAAGTTGCGTCACCCATGATACCAAGAGCAGTGTGGTTCTTGGCAAGACACCCTCGCAGACACTGATGCAGGCACCTAAGGTGATGGCATTTGCTTTCGAGGACCCAAGCCACAAGAACTCCAGCGCCATCGTCCATTGGGCAGCTCGGGTACATGCGAAAATGCTCGCATTCCAACACTGCACGTCAGGCGAAAGCCCAGCAAGTTCGGTCATTTGGCTGAAGATATGCAATGCTTGCAGCCACTCACTGGCGTTTGCACAGGCGCTGATCGTGGAACTGTAGCTGACAAGATCGGCACAACGAGAAATCTGCAAGGCCTGCAGCAAGAACAAAGCTTCCCTCCACCGCCTGCACTTGGCGCAAGCGCTGATGGCTGTGTTGGTCGCCACTGCTTGCTCCAGCTCTCGTGGCATCCTTGAGAGCACCGCCAATGCGGGTTGCCACTCCTCACTTCTCTCACAAGAGGCGATAACTGCTCCGTATGCAACCTCGTTTGCTTCCATCTTCCTCCGCACCACTGGACACCCCCCTTTCGGAAAACGACCGTACCCATCGTCGAACACACCACGTCGATCCTTCGTCGTACACGGACACCCGTCCTCTCCAACCCTCCGAGCAAAAACAACGAGAGGGTCCAACGTTCGGAGGTGGAGACCACGGCGCTGCAGGTTACAAAGTTGCCCTCCACTTGCAAGCCCAGCATCTTCTCAAAGAGCCACGTGGCCTGGGGCAACAAGTGAGGCAACGGCCCAACGGGGCACCCAAAGTGGCCCTCTGGCTCAACCACCTGTATTGAAGCTATGAGAGTGTCGCATCAAAAATATATGCAGTATTCAGTATTTAAAACCATTTGCCTCTATGTGCTTCAAACTTGGAAAAATATCAATGAATCTTGCAAGCAAGGAGGCCTAGGTTGTCCTCCCTATGCAGGTCTGAGTCTGAGCATTGCAGGCCTTCTGCCACTGGTTAGTGGCAGAGATGAGTGCATTGCATGAGACCACATCTGGGCAAAGCAGCTGAAGCCCCACCGGCCAGCCGAGACTGGCAATAGCTGTGTTGAAGGTCACCAACGTCCCCTTGGCAGAGTCTCTTCAAGGCCTACTTGTGTTCAGAAGACTCACTGAGCAGCTGTGCAGTGTAGGGCTAATGCGGCACATGGCATAATAGAATTATAACTATATAAGAAGTATTCGGAAACCTCGAGCTTGGCTCCGAGCATAACAATGCTCTCTCTCTCTCTCTCTCTTTCTTCTCAGCTCCCAGCTCGTAGACCGTGTTTGCGGATCATTTCCAGCAAGCACTGGGCTCTGTTCCACTGGCCTCCGCCACAAGCACTCAGCCTCAGCAAAAATCTAAAGAAAACGATGCCTAAACAGCTTGGACACGCCAAAGGCGATTGTTGCTCTTTCCAACCCACTGAGATTGTCGTGAATCTTCTCACCAGAACCATCCTTCTTCGCCTCCATCTGCAGCTGAAGCTCACAGCATTGTAGCTCACCACATCTGCTCTCGGTATGCGCCGTAGGATTTGCTCGGCGGCGAGCCTCAATCAAATTATCACTACATATCACTACCAGTTACCTGGGTGGCACATATCAAAGTGTGATATTTGTTGCACTGGACTCTGGACACCTCGAGGGTTTCTGAGCCCCGGACCATCTACCCTCACATGCACTGATCGCAGTATTGCACATGACAATGCTGCGCCGGAAGCCGTTCACACCAAGGCCGTCCAAAAGCGAAAGCACTGAACCCCACCGCGAAGATTTCCTCAGCACGGGCGGTGTCGAGCTCTGGAACGCTTTGAGGGATATTTTTCTGATCTTTCCTGTGGCTTCGCATCTGCACTGGAGGTGTATCGGCAGAACAGGCAATCAGCACACATCTCTCTGAAAATCTGGAGGGAGATGCATTTGATGTTTGATTTCATACTTCCCTACTTGACCCTCTAGATAGGTGCATCACCGCCACTCGCAGGCAGCCGCAGCGGCATTGAAGGAGACACTGCTACGGTTCTGAAGCCAGAAGAGCAAATGCACAGACAAAGGCCAGTGCCTGGGCCCGAGGTTGCGAAGCCATCCCCACAATGCCAAAGCTGTACGTGGTGCGTGTCAAAAGTTTCAAGCCACTGAATTGGTCAATTTGTTTGCACATATCAAGTCAAGTTTCCCACAGGAAATGGCCGAGTTTGTTGCCATCCTGCTGGGTGAGAGGCGGGCATCAGGGAGCACGGCCAACAAAGAAGCAGCATGCTCCCACTGCCCAGCCCTGCCTCAACCAAGCGAAGCCGGACATTTCCTATTATTTTGCGTCACCAAAGTGCACAGTGCACGTGCAAACACCACCACCTCCTCACCTCACGCCCAACCTTGCTTCCCAGCAGCCACAAGCAGAGATAGTGCTGACAAACGTCACATCGTCCGCCACAAGATCAACTGCAGAAATTCCCGCCAACAACCCCACAACCATCCGCCACTTTCCTGGCATAACTCCACAATTCAATCTTTGAACAACATTGGGTGTGGGGCGCATGGTTCACTATGACTATTCCGAGTTTTTTTAGCATTGACAGCCCCAAAACGCCTGCTCGATCGTGTTCCAATCTTTCTCAAATCTTATGTCTGCTTCGTTGAATTCAATTTGTGCACAAGTCCATTGAAAGCTGCTCACAACACTCGCACCTTTTTGAACTGAAACATATTGGGGAATATCAAGTCTCTGCTTGCCACACTTCGTCGGCTAGGGGATAGGCCTTTAAGACCACCGTTGGTTGCGGCACAACTGATCATACATATTCTCCAGGCTTTGTTGCAAAGCCAACAATCTAGTGTGACAAGTGTGATCACGGTTGATCAGGAACTCACGTGAGGTCATGGCATGAAAATCCCATGAGGGATGGAACTCCTTCAAGTTGGTGATGCGACGTCGTCAAAAGCGTAGATGCAGTAGCACACTAGGTGTGCAAGGAACTCCGTCATTGGGTGGGCCAAAGAAGTAGCGACGAGACTGAACAAAGTCCCTCCCACCACTACCCGTGACTGGTAAAAGAGGCAAACGAGAAATTGAATTCAAGTTGTTTCAGCCTCAAGCAGAAACAATGCGCTACGCAGAAATAGTTTCTTTGTTAGCTTCGTCAACTGCACGCATTACGCCTGCTTCGTTAAATTCAATTTGTGCACAAGTCCATTGAAAGCTGCTCACAACACTCGCACCTTTTTGAACTGATATTGAGAAATATCAAATCTCTGCTGCTGACCCCTTGCCACACTTCCCCCTTTCTTTACAGAGCAAGCGGCTTAGCATCTGGAACGTCTCGCCTTGGGATGTCGCCTTGGGATGACAGCAAAGTCTGGCGCTGGAGCCCTCGAGGCTGGTAACCGCAAAGGATGATCGACTCCTGTCGAGGGAGGATCAGCAATGTTAGCTTTAATAGGCACGCCAGCATACCATGGGAACAAGGATCCGGTTTCTTCCCCATAGGCAATCTGATGAACGATGTCGGAGAGGACTGGGTTGGAAGCATAACCCTTGAGGATGAGGAATCTGGCTCCTTCATTGTCAAGAAAGCAAACCAAGTGTCTTGATCGGACGAAGTTTCCAAAGAACCAAGCACGCCAACACGGCAAAGGCTTCGAGCTCTCCTGTGGCCTGCTATTGCTCCTCAGCCGTGAATGATTGGCAGAAATCGGCAGAAGCCTCTGGGCCGAACCAGCTATTGACGCAGCCACACCGGTCCAGCAAACCAGCACCGACACCGCCTTCACAAGCTTCACTGGCGAAGCTGGCATCTGTAAAGAGAAAGAAGACGTCGCCCACGTCAGCATCGATGGATCTGGGTTGTGCAGTCTGGATGCGTTTCCCAACTTGTTCCAGGCGTCTCTCGCGCGCTCAGCAATCTTGTTGCCCCGTGGTGGATACAAAGCATGCGCCCCAAGCTCATTGATCAAACGCTTGGTTACTCTTCCAAAAACAGCTGACCTTCTGCAAAGCCCAGTCTTCCTTTGAGAGACGCGGCCTCATGCGAAGTGATGGACCCGGTGGTCACGACGGCTTTGATCTGTTCGCTGATGTCCTGCCGCCTCCTCTTCTCGGTATTGGCAACTCGGAGGACACCGTCGGCCGAGCTGCTATGACACCACGCACTTGCACGCATTCGCTCATGGCATCTGCCTTGTCCCCAGTCTGGTCGTATTCCCATCCAAGCAGATCTAGGATGGAGGCAAAGCATTTGTCACTGTTGGATGCCAAGCAGGGTGGCGACAAGCAGACATAATCATCAAAATAGCAGGACACAATCACATCCAGTTTGAGGGCTATCCACTGCAGCAGCGTTGCACATCGCAGGAAAGCCACCACACTGGCTTTGGCCCCAACTGCTAAAGAGTACTGTTGGAAGCAATGCGCTTTCCGGTCTGACACCACTTCAATGAACTGTCCACAACTGCTGGCTCACTTCCGCGCAAGGGACGACCTGACCACTCGCTTCAGCAGGCCGGAGAAGTAAATCGGCACTAGCCGCGCCGGTCCTTCCAAGATGGAATGATTTGCAACGGCGCCCCTGTGTGATAGCCACTGTCTTGCTTTTTGCTGGTTTGCTTGTCTTGAGTCTTGGGTGGCCGCGTTTGAGTCTTCTCGACTTGCACTGCCTGCCGCACGTTGTTCAGGATTCCATCAAGGGGTCTCGTGCCATCAGGCCTGGGCTTCACGCCGTCTCGGTTGAGCTCTTGCGTGCGAATGAAGGCCTGCCCGTCTGCGGGTAATTGTTGGTGCTTTGAAACCTGGTGGTGGTGGCGGCTGCCTCATGAGACTGAAAAGATAGTTTGATCCACTTTTGGAAGACCCCGTAGTCAATCAGGCCTGCTGCGTCAAAGGCGAGACTCTTGCGACTCATAGCTTCCAAAACGTCCAACTCTATGTAGAGGGAACAACATTGATCAGGTTGAGTGTCCGTCACCGTGATTCCATGCCCACTTGCATCCAAGCGTAACTCCTTCGAAGGTTTGGCTGAAGTGAGCTCATGCATCCTCGTAATGCACTTGCTCGGTGACAGGTACTTGAGGGTGTCTGCCTCCAGCGTTCCGTTGATGACGTCATAGATATGATGCGCAACTTCCATCGGCCTTCCAAGGATAGGCCACTAAGCCTCCTCCTCTGCTCTGCCAGTCGTGAAGAGCGCTCGGCCACGGGCATCTTGCGAAGGCTTGGATCTGCAGCGTTTGGATCGGCCTGCGAACAGGCCAATTTCAATGCAATCACTGCCGTCTGAGCTTCAAACATCAGCCTCTTCATAACAGCTATGTCTCCAACGGTAACTGCCCTGGCCGGTACTACGTTAGCAAGGAGCCCATGCACATCGTCTTCTGCTACTGGCTGTCCAGGTTGGCCACACGCAAAAGCCAAGCGACCGAAGGTGTTGACATGGACGCCTCTAGGGCCTTGTAGCCATGCGTCGCTTAGTCCTAGGTTGGCCGCTTGCCATCTTCACCGATCCTTTTCTTGCACCATGGCGGCAACTGTCTTGACCGAGAGTGAGGCAGCCTTCGCGAAGCAAAGAAACTAACACACACACACACACACACATGTTCCCAAAGAAACACACGCACGCCCACGCAGGTGACGTGTGAAGACATGTGCTCACTCACTATGCGTCCATCCTCGAGGTCAAAAGCTAAGAGCCGCAAGCAATAAGGGTATGATCCTCAAGTCATGCCCTCTAGGCAACTCAACTTGACCAATGGATTGGCAGATCACCTCAAGTGAACAAAAGAAAAACCCTCCAACAAATACACAAATGACACCTCAAGTGATTCCCTCAAGGAAATGTACTGCTTGCGAAAAGCTCAAAGATGTAAAGCTTATAGCAAAGAATCACGCAATTCCAAAGTGAATCCCTCGAAGAAAACAAGTAAAGATGCGTCAAGATGCGTCAACGCTCTTGCTCTTTTCACTTCCGTGGGCTACGAGTCAGGTGCGGCGTCTCTTGCCTTCATTGACGGCCTCGACGATGGGCTTGCTGCGGCCGCCATCCTCGAAGCGCCGGCTGCATCTCGGCCACTCAAAGGAGCTGCCCTCTTCCAGCACAATGAACACTCTGTGACAGGCTGAAGGCGATTCAGTGGGTCGCCACTCTTCTTGTCCAGCATGCGACTTCGTTTGTTCTGCATGAATGGCCCAGGAATGGCCACCGGGACACTTGCCTCCATTGCGCTGGCGTGTTTGCCGTGGACCTCCTGCCTTGGCTCTTCATACTCGCGGTTCTCGCCTTGATCGAAGTAGGACCCTTCTTTTTGATCTTCCTGCACTGTATCCTCACCGAAAGGATTGTTCGGGTCAAAGGATGGCGTTCCTGCAGGATCGGTCACCTCCGGTGCGACTCGTTCAGCTTCACCGTCCAGCCCTCTGACGATCAATGGTAGTTGTCTCTCCCGTAGCCATCCGGACCTTGTCCCGTCGGGCATGGTCTTGCCAACATGTCCCTCGAATAGCATGCCAAGCTGCTCTCTTTCAAAGAGCGATGTCCTAGCAATATCCTTGAGAGGTCGTCAAGACCGTAGCGCGCTGCCCACACCAAGGTTGTCGCCTTGAGGGGATGCGATGTTGTCGCCAGGTTGGAGGTTGCAGCATGGCCCAAATATTCATTGACCATGCCTGAAGCTTCTGCCGTCGACAAGAGCCTCTTTTTTGGAGCATTGCAAATGGGCCCATGGTGCTCACGTCCATCCAACAAGTGGAGCTCTTCCAACGCCTTCTGCCAAGCCAACAAGAATCTCCAACACCTTCAATCGGCGCCACGGAAGGCATGTACATGGCTTTCTTCTCAGCAGTGTTGGATGTCTTGTGAATTCGGGTGTAGGCTCATCAGCGAACCCAAAGGGGCCACTCTCCGTCTCGATGACATCAAAACAAAACTTCTGAATATTCGACATGTCGCTCCACCTCGAGCGTGAGTAAAGACAGCACAACAAACATCCAAGGAAGTATTGGTCATATTTGTTCGACAATGTGGTCAACAAGGACTCGAGGCGTCGAACCTCGTCAACCGTCAAGGCCCTTGCTTGGCTGGTTGAATCTCTGGTAGCCAAGACTCTGCTCACATTCCTACAACAACTGGTCCCAATGATGATTTTGAAGAACTTGATGCTGCGCACGAGGTTCTTCCCAATGTACTTGCTCCGACTTTCATTCTCCGTGGCAGTTAGATATCCCATGATAACATACTCAATCAAGGGCCACCATGCAGTCTCTTGCTTGGAGGCCCACTTCATAAAGGCCTGTACATCAGCGGGCATGCTTGAGAACAGTCGCTGGTGAGCGCACTCCGCAGGCATCACGAATTGTAAGCAATGCTCCATCTCTGTCTGCAGCTGCAAGCTTGCGCAACACATGCTCTCCAACACGCGGTTCAAACGCACTGCTTTCCAAAACAGTCAGCCAGCTAGCGAGCGGTCTTGTCCAATTCAACTTCTGAGCTTCTGAAAAGTCTCGGTCGCATAGGGCACGAAAATGCTTTGCAAACAAAGGCAAAGTAGAGACACCAGGTGTAGCTCTATCTACGAAAGCTTCACTTTCCTCAGGACCCTTCTCTGCAGCAACCAGCGGTGCTGGCGCAGGAGCAACACTCAGAGTGTCAGGCAGTCCATTGCTCGACTCGGGCGCAAAGATCTGTGCAAATACTCCCTGCTCCCAAGGCAAAAGTGGAGGGCCGTTTCCCAGATTCGAAAAGGTCATGTTATACATAGCTCTTTCAAAAGCAATTGCTTCTGGCTCTGTATATCTGGTTTCTTCGGCAGCGAAGATGCCGTCTGGATTTAAAGGAGCCTCTGAACCAACAAGATTTTCTTCTAATACGATCGGGGGCTCTTCTCCACGAGCAGGGAAATCATCACCAGCTTCAACCATGGCAACGCACCCCCGCTGCCCAAAAAAGTAGCGGCGAAACTAAACAAAGTCCCTCCCACCACTACCCTTGACTGGTATGAGGCAAATGACAAATTGAATTCAAGTTGCTTCAGCCTCAAGCAGAAACAATACACTACGCAAAAGTAATTTCTTTGTTAACTTCGTCAACTGCATGCAACTTTTTTTGTGGATGGATGCTGCATGATTCTGTGAATGCCATCCTGCTTCCCAAGTGTTGATGACAGCGTTGTAGGAGACAACTGTCTGCTGCAGCTGGAGGCCTGCAAAATGTCATTTTCAGGCCTTCACGGAAAAACATCGAAGCCCTTCAAGCCGGGTTCTCACAACGCCGGCCTTTCATCTCCAGAAGGCAGCCAGCCAAAGGCCAAGCTCGAGTGAGAAGTGAGTTAAAGCTGATCACGTCGACCTTGCCAAACCAGCAACACTTCCCTTCCCTAGCTGATTGTGACTTGTTTTTTGCCTCTCGTCATGTGCCGAAACAAACACCATGCCTCCACAAACATGTCCTGCAACTTCTCCAAGATCTTCACTTTACTCCGCCATTGTTGCACTTCACCAAGCACAGTGTTGCACGTGATTACATCCACCTGCGATGGTGGCAATCCAACGATTGCCCCGGATGCGCTATTGCAACAAAAAGTCTGGACTATGCCTGGGCTAACAAATTCGGTCGGTGTTATACAAATTCAACCTGCCAAAAAGACTCACGGCACCTCTACAGCCTCAGCCAGCATAGCAAAAAGGATGCTTTCCCAGCAATTCTGCAAACACGTGTTGAAAGTCACAGTGTTCCCTTGAAGGTGCCAAACCTTGGTCACTGCCGCACCGCACTGTGTCTTTCATGGTGCACGTCACCAATGGTTGCAAAAAGTTGTGGACAGCAAGTGCGGAGCGGGGCGCGCGCAATTCTTGGACCAACCGCGAGTTCAAACGCCAATCCATGTTGCGCACCACCGCATTCCAATGTTTAATTCGAGTGGGCTGCCGGCTGGCCACGGAACTGCACAATGATCCAAGGGCCTCTTTCCATGCCATGCGGTCAACCATTGTCAAACCATGGGCACGCGCAGAGCTTCGAACCGTCGCGCAGAAAGCTCTGGTGCCTGAATCCCATTGCTTGCACCACCCAGGCCAAATACTTGCGATTGCACCTGTCAAATTCCACACAAACAATACAATCTAACACTTTTAGCTGCAAACAACTCAGGCCGAACAGCGGTGGGCCTCAAACCGATCGTTGGGCCAAGAATTGCCACCACCCCCGTCCCACCATTGCCGGAACCCCGCACTAACCTCCCACGAATTAGGCCCGGCCTTTCCTTGCCGGGTCTACATGCAAATTTGGCAATTCACCATAAGCCAACAAAGTCGCATGGTCCCATTATTGACACGAACCGTTACACATGTCAAACCCAACGCGTGCAACGTGCGCGTGAGCCAATCACAGCTGCGCCATTGCGCTGTCGAACACGCCATGTTTCCGCATGTGGGGAGGCCCCAAGCGCCCACAAACCAAAAACAAACATCAATGGAACCACACGTGCCTCAACAGCCTCAACACACACAGAATCAGGCCCCTGGCCCCACACTTGCAACACACCATCAGCTCACACCAAACCTGCGTAACCGATCTTTCTGCCAGCACTCTAGTCAAAGGATGTCAAAAGTTGGCCACATGAATCGTTCTTTCGCGCAGCGCGACCCATGCGACTGCACATGTTCAGTGGTAACTAGTAAGGGGTTGGGGAACTCCCTGGAGCTCCTCGGCTCCCTGTTGAGCTGGGGAATATGGATACCCCTGGCTCCTTAGTTCCTTCCTGAGCAAAAGCTGGTATAACGTTGAGGGGGCGGCCGGAAACATCAAATCCCCAATACAATATATATATATATATATTCGGCTGCATCAGTTACACTTGACTTGATGTGTGACAAGGCGGACACAGCTCGCTTCTTTTTCACCTGAGCTTCAAATGTCTGGGTTCAAGAGTGCTTTGGTTAACGTGACCCTGTCACAGCAGCCCACGCTGCGCGCACCCCTGGTGCATACCTCTGCCAGGTATTCGTTCCCTTACCTGTACCTGGTAGACTCCTTAAAATAGTCAAGAGGATACTGAACATCAGTCCTATGACTATGTTGGAGTAGGGCTCAAAAAAGTAACTGGTGCAGTGACCAAAGAGTGGACACTCTTGCACTGCGAAGACAGTGACTTCCAATTGCTCCGCAATGTCACTGGAAAACGGTATCTGGACTCATGACTGAAAGATTTTGCCTGGCCGACTGCTGTAAATGCGGTGGCTATGTAGCAGACTGCAGCCACAAATGACGCGAAGCAGTGACGAAAACATCATGGACACCATGGTAACCCGCAGACAGCACCCGTCCATGCGCTCATTGCCAGAGCATTTGGCCATGCCGACAGCTGCAACTCATCTGGCTCACAGCAGACTGCGCCAGGGTGACCAGCGGTCACATCAAAGGGCAGACAGGCAGCGCAACCGTGGCACTCAGCTGGCAGCGACCACGCGTTGCCCAGAGACTCCCAAATGACAACGGAATAGAGGCTTAACATGGATTATCGGTAGCAACTGGAGACCATAGCATCAAATCAAATCAAATTGTAGACTCCTGCAGACTGCTGCTACAAGTAGGCCACCGTGGATGACATCGCACAGGCCAGGGAAATCACATGGACGCACCGCAACCATGGGAACACAGGCCGACAGCTGTCACAGGTACCTGTAACCACTCGTACCGAGCACAGGGTGTGGTGGGTGGGACAAAAAGAATCTTGCGAATCAGCGACCCTGATTCACACGAGCGACACTCCTTTTGGCTTGAGCCTCAAGCTGAAAGGAGTGAGTGAACTGAATGACATCAAATAATTCCTCATCACCGACCCTGCCTACCTTGAATGAATGAATATATTCGGCTGCATCAGTTACACTTGACTTGATGTGTGACAAGGCGGACACAGCTCGCTTCTTTTTCACCTGAGCTTCAAATGTCTGGGTTCAAGAGTGCTTTGGTTAACGTGACCCTGTCACAGCAGCCCACGCTGCGCGCACCCCTGGTGCATACCTCTGCCAGGTATTCGTTCCCAATGCATTCAACCTTCCCAAAGCACTCAGAAGAATTGGAACACGTGATGGATAATAACATATGGTAGGCGGAGTAGGAGGTGGGGTACTGGGACACGGTGTACCCGAAATCCATGAGCCTGATACCATTTATCATGAATCCCTTGCCTGCTAATACCATCGGACCAGTTGTCCTTGGACTGGACCCATTCGAAATAGCACCCACTGCGCAGTGAATAGAGGAGGGCATGGATACATCCTGCCATAGTATCCAACTGCGGGTTGTCACTCCGGCCCTTGATCAGGGCCATCAATGCCGCAATGTTGTCCACAAACCAAAGCCCCTGACAGGAGCGGGCCTGACTGGCAACGAAGATGAAGCCCACGTAAACTGTGAGAAGCTCCAGTTGGGCGATTTTGGTAGGGTGATCGGACCAGAGGTTGAAGAGCTCCGCCGTGATGTCGACGACATAGGCATCTCGTTCACCTTGAGGTCCCACAAATAACAGGCCCGCTGAACCTTGCCGAGGTTCATCTTGGGCCGCATCGGAAGCCGCGAGGTAGCGTTGCTGGCTACCAGGCTGAAGTGGTAGTTCTCGCTCAGGGCGTAAAGCCAAGAGGGATTTGATGGTCACAAAGGAGCGTGAGAGGTCCTCAGTCAGGGCGGTGTCACGCGAATACTGCCGTTCCTTCAGGGGGCTCAATCCTGATCGCCCTAACTTTCCAAAACATCCCGTGTTGAGGAAGCCCAGGCAACCGAACAGCTTGGCCGCAAGACCTGGCGGGAGTCGGTTTGTTTGGATGGCTTCGTCCATGAGGTCTGTGACCTTAGTGATCAAACGCTCCCTGGGCCAAAATCTGACAGGCTGTCCCCGGTGACAATTGGTAACATCATGTACCAACCCCAGAAAGTCAGACTGACTTTGCATGACCTGATGCTTCTCCGGTTGAAATGGTGAGCCAAGTTCGGTGGCCAACGATGTGATGAACTGCTGGGCTGAACCCTTAAAGCTGCCCAGGTCTTGGACGGTCAGGTCGTCGAAGTACATACTGGCCAAACAATATCCCATGCGACGACAAAGGGCCTGAAAGAACCGAGGGAACCGATTGAACGAACAAACAGCATTGGGCAGGCCGAACAATGAACCATAGTACCTGCGAAAGCGAGGTGCTCCAACATGATGGTCATAATAGGCCACGACAGCAAGATCGGAATGCTCGAGGACCATAGGGACATGCCTATATGCGTTAGGTAGGTCTTCGCCTCCTGAGCAAATGCCGTCAGCAAGCAATGTGCCCGCATTGGGAAGAGGGCTGACTGCCCGCCATAAAAGTTGCACATGCAGACCCGGTTGAATGCTAGTGCAAAGGTCCAGTTTATTGGAGTCGTGACTGAGTTCACTTTGTCCACCGTCAGCAGCGTCATCAATGACTCTGAGCTTTCCGCTGGGTTGCTGAATGCAAAATCTCCGAATCAGGCGAAAGTGGCGCACTTGCTGACAAAGTTGGGACCACGACAGGGCAGGTCCACAGAACCCTAGTGCTTCATCGTCGGACCCAGCCTTGGCAATAGCCTCGTCATGGTCGCATGGCTGCAATGTACGGATCAGACGATCCGCGTCCTGCCATGCCCCGTGTACCACCTCCGACGAGGTGATGTAACTAGCCGGTTGGGCTTTGTAGACTGGTACATGTGGGGAGAATCCAACTGATGGAAAACCAAAGATCAGGCACTCCATGAAAGTAGGGTCCGGCCACCCAATGAACATCATCAAGAGGCCGATCAGGGCGATGTGGCGGCCCTTGGTGGCTCGAGCAGGACCCTGTGGCTGAAACTGACGTAGCCACTCAGTGATAGGCCACGTGCGCCGAGCCAGCTCATGGATCCAGCGCGTCATGTGATGCCGAGTTTGCCGTAGAGATGCACCCAACTGCCGATGTTGGTCCGCTGCAAATAGTAGATCGTCATCGACAATGCCCATCGACTCGAAGGGTGTAGGCTGAGCTTTGAGTTCCATGGCAAGCTCAAAGTGTCGTTCCTCACCCACTCCAAAAGGAATCAGTGGCGGCATAGCTTTCGCCGCAGCCGCGGCTCCTGCCTGCTGAAAACCATGTAGGGATATGGCTGCACGCTCGATGGGTCCCACCAGGGACGGGCCAAACGCCTGGCCCTGCCAATCATCCCTAGTTTGCATGGTAGCCAACCAGACGAAGTGGGAGTCATCCACCAACAAGTCCTCAATCATGGGCCATTGGAACCCGGACCAATGGATGTGGGGACACATTGCCATCAGGGCACTGATCACTGTCTCCTGTGAAAACCTGATAGGTACTGCCCGGACCGGGCGCAGGCCTGCGGCCAGCAAAGCCACCTTGCGCACACCTTGCCGGTGGTGCCGGCGCGGAAGTGTAGGCCTCGATGTGGTGGTAGTCCAGATAAGGGCACGCAGGATATCTCCATGACACAACTGGTTATGGGGGCAGTCGCAGATCAATGTACAACCATGAAGTGAAGGCAGGGCCTGGAGGAGGTGCGTTTGGTCGTGGATCCATCGGGCAAACTGGAGGACACTTTCAGAAGAAGTACGGCCCTCCCCGACCCGGAAGGGGTTCTGCCATTGTGAAAGAGGCCACCGGTGGGAGAAGTGGCCAGGGCCAATGTAGATCTCGTTCTCCTGGAGGTGCTTTCGTGTCAGCAGAACTTCACTTGCCACCAACCGTGCAGGGACAAAGGAGGCATCCACACCCGGAGGGGACAGACCCAAGTGGAAGCCCATGACGTCCATCAACTCCTGACGAAGTTCCGACGGTTCGAACTGCAACAACGGCCGATGATCACCTGATAGCGAGATAGGTGGTAGACGGGGTACCTGAGTCACAAGGTATCCACGAGATGCTGCCCATGCAGTACAAGCCACTACCAGGCTCGGGGTGTACTCCGCTTCGGCGAAGGTAGCAAATCCGCCCTC